TTATTTTCAGGGAAGGTAATAAGCAGCTTAACAGAAAAAACGACGATTAGAAAGAGAAATTACAAGAAATACAAAAAGAAAAATTCTTATGTGCTTAGTGTTCAACTAAAAAACTGACTTATTAAAACTATTTCAAGCATCTTCTTCAGTTTCACGATATAAAGAGAAAAAATTAAAGAATAACATGAATTTTCCTTCCTACTGTCTGCTGCACTACTCAAATTCGTTCCGCCATCAGTGGGCTTAGTTTCATGAGAAGCCTACGACCACTAGCAAATTTGTAATTTCATGCACAACTTTGTGCCTCAGATGATTCAAATTTTACATATATCTTATTTTTTTTTTTTTTTTGCACATTTCTTTCTGTTAATCAATAAAAGAATAAAAGTGATAAGTTGGAATTGTATGTGACAAAATCATTGATTGAGATCATTTCAAGCATGGATTAAGGTAGTTGTTCTAATTTTTGGCCAGTAGTTGTTGATGAAAGAAAGTTTTGTTGCTTTAAAAAAGTACATAATTCAGATTATTTATTTGTAATCTGTTTGTTGTTATAGCGTCTATTGTATATTAAAATAAACGCTGAAATCAGTGTTAAATCATTATCAAAAACTTTATAATTTATGACCGAAACCGTTGACGTAAATCTCTAAAAGTTTGAGCTAGAAGAGGAAACAAGTTTTGTACTTTCAAAACTGTTGTAATATCTTTATTACTTCTTTCTTCATGGTATTTTGTGCAAAGTTAAATGAAGGTATATTTGAGAAGTATATTACTTTCAAGTTTCTTTAACTGTTTTATTTGTTTACCCTAAATTATCTATTTCTATTGTATCGAAAAAATTACTTTACAAATAAAAAGCGTAACCTAATTTTATTGCCGTTAAAAAAAGTAAAGACAAGCAGAAATGGATTTCAATGTAATTCTGTAAAAGGTTGCTGAGGTGATGAAATTGGTTACTTAAAACAGACCGAGATGTAACGTTATTTTTAATAGTAAATTTTTGCCACTTTGTTAAGAAAATATTGATTATAAAAACAGAATCGATTCGTCACTATAAACTGGTTCAAAAGTTTTTAAGTTTAACATACTGCTTAGACTAAACTTCTTCCAATCTTTAACAGTATAAACATTTGCTTTTTCTCTTAGCAGCGTACGATTTTACAAAAAGATGTGTTTAAAAAAAAAAAATTTCTTTTTTGACTAAATGTTTCTTCTTTTTTTTTTTTGACGTTTCATCTACTTAAAGTAAAAACATTTTCTGCTTTTTAAAACTTATTCTTTACACCAATTAGACACTGTATATTTGGCTGAGAAGAGCCGTGTTGTAGACGAATTTAAAACTAGCAGAATAAACTGTACAGTACTGTAAAGGTAATCTGATGAATACAACAAATTAATGTTTTGGTTATGTAAGCAGAGAGTATCCTTTGTTACAACAGTTGCTGTAAATGCTGTTCGTCCAGCAGAAGAAGCTTTATAAAAGCAATGAGTAGCAGTTTGTAACTGAGAATAATAAGCTGTGATAATATTTTTAAAAAAATATAGAAGTTTGAAAATGTTCAAAAAGATATTATGCAGTCGATTTTGTTTTATAAAAAACCGGTAAGGTCGCTTAACGAAGAACTATAATCGAAAATTTAAACAATTTAATTGTAAGTAAGACTAGTGTAGGCAAGTATAATGCAAGTTAGTAAAGAAAAGTTAGTAAAAAAAGAGAGCAACCAACAGTTGTTGCTCAAAAATTTGGTCTAGTATCAGGATGTAGAGCGAAAATTCATATATATGGTTATTTCAAGCTATAGATAATCAAAAAAAAAAGTTATCAAAAGAAAAAAAAAGAACTTATTTTGCTGCCAAAGTTAACCAATTTTTTGTTTGCAAATCACTTTTCAACATGGTCATAACTGCCCTAATAGCTACTATTCTGTAGCAAGTGAAAAACCTAATTGTTCTTAGGCAAATAAAAGAACTGTTCAGTAAATGCTATAACAATATTAGCAATATTATAACTAAATTTTGTTGTTATTTGTAAGCAGTAAATTCATTTCCTAAACTTACAGATTTGTCGGTTTCAACAATGTTATTTAAGTGCCATACGAAAATCGATATCGAAATAAGAAAACCAAAAAAAAAAAAAAAAAAAAAAAAAAAAAA